AAAGACAAAAAGGAAAAAAAAAAAGAAGATTGTAGTGTGAGTTTTTCAATAGGAAATGGTTAGGAGTTTGGTGGAAAGATGATGCTAAAAGTGAAAATCTTTCATGTGAGAGGATATTTTTGCATGGAGGCAATTATCTATTTCCACCCAAAGAGTATCTATTATTTAATTAATCCTGCCTGGAAGCGAAGGGGTAGGCTAAATCTTTTAGAGGTCTTTCCAGCCCTAATTTTTTCTTTACTTGCAAAGCAAGTAACAATTAATGAAATTGCTACAAAGTGCCATGAAAAAGACAATTGATCATAAGTGTGCTTTTTTTTTTTTTTTCCTTTTTTTTGTCTTTTTTCATGACTGGTAACGGGATCGCAACCCTTGGTGTCGCGCCTGCACCGCGCTCAACCAGTGAGCGGACCGGTCTCTATATAGGATCTGAACCCTCGGCGGGAGCGCCGCCACTCTCCCAAGCACCGCACTCTACCGAGTGCACCACCGGTCCGGCCCCAAAGCATTTGCTTTTTTTTTTTTGTCTTTTTCCGTGTCCGGCAACGGATCCCAACCCTCAGTGTCGCCCCCGTTTTAATTAAACAAGATTTACTGTTTGTCTTTGGAGATAGAAAATACATATGTTTCCAACTTCAGATACATTGTAATTTATTTGTCTTGTTTTTTTCCTAATATTAAATTTTTGGGCTATCATTGAAAAACTGATAAAAGGGGGCTGGCCTGGTGGCGCACTGCTACAGTGCACTGCTTGGGAGTGTGGCGGCGCTCCCGCCGAGGGCTCGGATCCCACGTACAGACCGGTTCCCGCTCACTGGCTGAGCGAGGTGCGGGCATGACACCAAGGGTTGCAATCCCGTTGCCGGTCCCGGTCCGGTGCGGGCGCGACACTGAGGGTTGCGATCCATTGCCGGACACGAAAAAAGGGAAAAAAAAAAAAAAAACTGATAAAAGAAAAAAGAAGGAAAAATATCATAACTTTTCATTATGATATTTTGTAGCCTGTTTCTAAGCAGCAAACACTTCACTTATTTGGTTTGATCCTTAATTTTGTTTTTATGAGTAGACAAGGAGTGATAACTTTAACCCTTCTGTGAAATTACTGCTATAATGAGGTGAACCACATGCTATGTTAGAATCTTTGGGAAGATTTAGCAACACAGTTCATGACACTCTTTGTGGTTAAACAAGTCTGGATTTGTTTCTAGTTGAAAGTGTTGATAAATACCTTCATCTGTATGGCATATATACATGTTTGTATATATGAGAGAACTTCAAAAAGTTCATGGAAAAATAGAATTAAAAATAATACGAATCTTTCCATAAACTTTTTGAAGACCGCTTCATACATATATATAGATTGGATGTTTGTAAATATATCTTTATTTAAACATACCAGTGAATTTTGCTATTAAAAAGAATTCTATGGTAAGTCCTTTTGAAACTTGTTAAATGTTTTGACATGATAAAAGTACCACGTCCATATTAGAAGTTACTTTATGGTCTGTTTTTTTCTTAAATTCAAAACATCTCCTGTCCCCTAGCCACCTTCTCCCATGAAGGCGGGCTTTGCTGATGTGAACAGGCCCTTAGGACAGCGCTTCAGGTCCTTCCACGTGGCCATTAACCCAGGTCCTGGCCCTGAGGATTAGGGAAGACATCAGAGGGCTCATCCTGAATTGGATTTAGAGGCTAGATTAAGAACCAGCCGGGAGGGAAGGAGCCTCCACTGCAGAGGCTCAGAGCTGCCTGTGAAGCTGGAAGTGGAGGATGGCTGGTGAGGAGGTGGTGGGTGGGTGTTTTCAGTGTTGAAGCAGAGGCAACGTCTTTGCCATTATTTAGTCACTCAGAAGGATTGGGGACACTTTAATTATAGGATCTATTCCCTTCAAGGGTCTTTTATCAGGAGTGTTGTGGAGGCTGGGAGTAGTGATGACAAGGATATCCTCAGGAACAAAGCAAATTCTGCTGTTTTTATGTTGAAGCAGGATAAAGTCATACACGGCTGCCCAGTCTCTTGTGTTACATGTGCCCTTGGGAGAGAGGAGTTTCTATACCCTTCCCCATGAGCTCCCTGGGGGAAAGGCTTTTTCATATTTTGGCCATTTTTACATCCAGTAAGTTCTGTTGTTGCTATGTTAACTGTCATTTATCTGTTTTGCATATAAAGCCATCTAAAATGGACCAGCATTTCAAATGTTGTATGCAACATAATGAGGCAGTCATTGGCTCCTAGAGCATCCAGGGTTTGAGTAGTCAGCTAGCCCCACGTTGACGTAGAGACAGGACATCCCGAGCTGGCTATCCTTCCTGTGGCCCGCGCTCACTGGGAGGAGGGTGCCAGGTGTTTGTTTCCTAGCAGGAGCTGAGAACGACTTAAAGGCAGGGCAGCTCAGGGTTCTGTCCCGTCCCCACCCCTCAGCTGCCCCATGGCCCTCTTACATGGTGTGCTGCGGGATTTTAAAAACATCTCTCAGAAGGTGAGGACTGGACGGGGCTTCCTTGTTTACCTAGACTGGTTTCAGTGCACTCTTCCTGTGCTTACTCGCGGTGGAGTATGAGTGGCGACGGTTTTCACTTTCTACACGAGGGGGCTGGGTTTCTAGGAATGTGCTTATGCCTACATCAACAAGCATTCAGTAGTACCTTGGAGGCCATTAGAATGCAATTTTACCTTCACCAAAGCTGATGACTAAAATAAAGGGCGAGGGCCGGCCCGGTGGCGCACTGCTACAGTGCGCCGCTTGGGAGAGCGGCGGCGCTCCCGCCAAGGGTTCGGATCCCACATACAGACCGGTTCCCGCTCACTGGCTGAGCGAGGTGCGGGCACAACACCCAGGGTTGCGATCCCGTTGCCGGTCCTGGTCCGATATGGGTGCGACACTGAGGGTTGCGATCCGTTGCCGGACACGAAAAAATAAAAAATAAAATAAAATAAAGGGCGAGTACTTCCTCAGGAAATGAAGAGCAGCTATTCAAACACAGGGAAAAAATCTTTAAGAAAAAACAATTGCTTTTTTAAAAAGGAAATTTAATGTAGTCATGTGCACCTGGATATTTGCATGATAATAACTTCAAAGTATAAATATATATATTTTCCAGAAGTTTCTTCCATTTGCTTATAGTGTCAGAGGTCAGAAGTGCAGAATGGGTCTCACTGGGCTAAAATGAAGGTGTTGGCAGGTCCGGCTTCTCCTGGAGGCCTGTTCCAGTCCCTCACAGCTGCCTGCATCCTCCATCAAAGCCAGTGGTGGCCAGGCGAGCCCTCATGCCGTGTTGTTCTGGCACTCACTCCTGTGCCTCCCATTTCCACGTTTCAGGGACCCTGTGATTACATCGGGCCCATATAAGTAATCCAGCACAGTATTCTCATTTTAAGGTCAGCTGACTAGCAGCCACAGGTTCTGAAGAATACGATGTGGACAGCTTTGGAAGGACATGGTTCTGCCTACCACAAAGCCCTTACTAGATGTTTTTGACACCTTTTAATCTGTTTAACTTACCTTTTTTTTGGAATCAACTGTTCTTGTATAATGAGCTATTACTACACTCTATTCCATGTTTTCTGTCACTCTTTTGTCAAACATGCCCACAACAGGGAACGATACCATTTTTCTACAATTCAGAGCTGAACTTGGCTTTTAAGGTGGACTTGAGTCTTGGTGATTGCAGTTATCCTTATAGTTTCAGGGAGTCCTAAGCTCACATCCAAAGATCAGGCCAGTACAGTCCTTCCCGTGTGTTGGTGTTAAAAGACAGGAAGCCAGTGGTGGCTGCAGGGCTTGTCTGGAGCAGCTTTTGCTTAGCTTGTGGGTGTGGGTCTGGGCCTGGAAGTTAATCACAGCAGGTGTCAGACTGTGCAGAAGGGATGAAGGGCTGTCAGGTGCTATTTTAACCTAACAGGGGTTAGACAGCCGAGTTGTATTTCATCACCTGAAAGGAAAATCTAGTTCTTGAGCTTCAGCGCATGAAAGATGTAGGGAGGTTGTGGGGCGAGGATCTCACAGTTGGATAACAGTCAGGCACTGATGGGATCGTAGGAGGTAGTGCTGTGTCAGAATTTCTGTGTCCTAAGTTTGGATTAGCCTGGCTCTGGCTGCTCACCACCCCTGTTGACACATGCCTTTGTTTTCTCAGGTCCGTGCCCACCAGCTGGTCTTACCACCTTGCGATGTAGTGATCAAAGCCGTTGCTGACTATGTCCGCAACATTCAGGACACCTCTGACTTGGATGCCATAGCTAAAGATGTTTTTCAGCATTCACAGGTAAAAAAATACAGATTCACATGTTAGGACTTTGCGTAGTGGTGTGGCCAGGTTGGGAAGGGGCCTGAGAGGTGCAAGCTGACTGGACGTGTCTGGGTGCTTGTGCTTGGCCTGTCAAGCCACTGTGAAGAAACCCCAGGCCACAGGGCCACAAATTGTGCTTGTGGGCAGGCCGGCTGGCCAGCCAGGTGATCTCAACCGCTTCACCTAGCTTTTCCACCCTCACTTCCAGCCTGAAAAGGAGGAGGAGGAGGAAAGTGGACAGTTGCTAAGGTCTGCTGCTTCTAAGGTCTTTGTCTTAATAAGATCTGTGTTTCATCGTTATCAGAAGACACACCATATCATATTGATCAGAGGGTAGTGTGAGTCTCTGATTTGTTTGTTCCTTTCAGGATATGACCAGGGATTTTCTGCTCTTTTTGGGAAGTAAGGCATGCAAACAAGTCAGCATTAGTAGAATAGGTGAGGTTTTGTAGGACTCCTGTTCTGTCTCTCTAGAGAACTGAAACCCTGGGTGGACACATCCCCGACCTGTCTGCTGCCATCTGTTCCACTTGCTGCAGATGGCATGCGAAACCCCCATGGGCAGGATCAGAGACCGAGCAGAGGAGAAGAAGAGAAGTCATGAGCTAGAACCCAGGTCCGTTACAACAAGTTCAGAACTCTGCTGTTTTAATGACATTGCTTTAAAAGGTTTAATGTTTGGTTTGATTCTTCAGTAATCTCTTGATTTTTCCCTAAAGGTTTTAATGTCATTCTAAATTCTTACCTAATATGGAAAGCTACAGATTATTTTACATGTGCTGAATTATAAAAATGTGTTAATACACATGATCAGTGGCATACTAATTTACAAAGGTTTTCCTACATTTATTTCAGTCTAGAACAGATGACAAAGTTATTCGATTTAAGAGAGCAATTGGATATTATTCAGCGACTAGTAAGCCTATGTCATTTCATCCACCACATTACTTAGGTAAGTAAATAAAGGCCTCTCTGTGATAGATATTGACCATACAATAGTCCAAAGAGGTTTAAAATATTCACCCTATAATCTTGTAGGTTTATTTTTTCGAAATGTGATTTTCTGCAGTTATACAAATAAGTGTAGCTGAACTTCCTGGGCAGACTCAATAGTAACTGCCCTGGAAATATTGAGGAGCAGAGAAACTTACAGACTCACTAGAGTGGAGAAGAGAAGTAGAGGGTCGTGAAGACAAAAGTTGGCAGGTCATAATGATATTAAAGTCTTGGTGTCTCTGAGGTGTTCTATTCTAAATACAGAATTCCTTGAGGACATAGATGGGCCTCCAGACCTGCAAATGACTTCATAAATGCAGTGGACTTGTAGCCTTGTAGCTCCTTCCTGTTTTGTTGCTTTTTTTATTTTTATTTTTGCAAAAGACCAGATTTAATTCAGAGATTTGAAATTGGGGAATAAAAATAATTATGAGCTGTTAGCCTGAAGCCTGCTTGCATCGTGAGTGTCTCATGGGAGGTTGTTTGCCTTTGGAAGTGTACAGAGCATTAGACCCCAGGTCTGGTTTAAATCGTGTTGTTTACTTCATATCAGCTGTTAACAAAAGAAAGCATGTGCAAGAGACTCTTAGGGAAGTAGACTTTTTATTGGTTTCAGAAGATCAGTTCCAAGCTTGGAAATGCCCCTAAAAGTCTCCTTTACTATGATAGCATTCCTTCATTTATTCGAGCATAGAGCCTCCTGTGTGCTAGGTCCTGGGGTGCAGAGATCAGAGACGTGGCGCTGGCTTTGGAGGACTGTGTGAGGGTGGGGGATGAACGGGGAAATGTGGCTTCCCTGACACTGTGTGATGAAGGAGGCAGGGCTGGGGAGGTGGAGGTGGGCATGGGTGAGGCTGGCTGTATGGCCACCTCTGCTGGCCCAGCCTCCCCGTCGTGATGGCAGCAGAGGGGCACTTGGTTTCTCTCTTGCTCTCCTACAATTAGTTTTCTTCCCAGCAGCCAGAGTAATGTTTAAAAATGTAAATCGTACCATGCTATTCCCAGGCTTAAAACCCTCTGCTGGGTTCCCATCACACTTGGAATAAACTCCGCCTTCTAATCCCGCTTACTCCCATGATCCGACTCCTGCCGACTGCTCACTCTTCATGAGCCCAGCCTTCTTTCTTGCCTTGAATAAGTCAGGCTGGCATCTGCCTGGGCCTCAGCACCAGCTGTTGTGCCTAGAGGACTCTGTTTCTAACCACCTTGTGTTTGGGCTGCTCTGATTTGTGAGGTCCAGGCTCCAATATTCTTCTCTGAGGCCTTTCTTAACCAGCCAGTCTCAATTTGCCATTGGCAGTTCTCTGTCATGTCACCTTGCTTTGATTCTCTGCTCACTTGTCAGCTGCTTTTCTTCACCCCCTCGTACCCCAGAGATGTTAGGTCTAGGGGAACTGGGGCCTGTTTGTTACCTTCATTCTTGTATCCCCAGTGGATAGTCAACTGCATTAATGAATGCACTCATGGTTTTTAAATCAGGGGAGTAAAGTGGTGGGACGTGTTTTACGATTGCTCTTGGAAAAGAAGGCATGAGGTTTTGGAAGGAGGGACACTGGTTGTAGGCTGTGAGGTCAGTTAAGGTGTGTCTGTTGATAACCTCACACACAGGAGGGGTTTAATGATTGCGTGTTGAGATATTGGAGGGCATGAACGATGATGCCAGCCTGTGCATCTGCCACACTACTTCCTGCCCCAGGCTTGCAGTTTAATAGAATGGGGTCATCAGGTAACTATTAAAACAGAAAGTGGATGTACAGTGCTTTGATGAGGTGCTTGTTCAGTGGCAGACACTGTTGTCGTTCTTAGGCAGAAAGGCCTGAAAGGGCACTGAGTGATTGAATGTTGAACGCTCAGGAAGCCTGAAAGGAGCTCTCAGAGGTGGGACTGGCATCCTTGTGGGTCTCTGTTGACATTCTGCACCTCATGGTATAGCCTTTGAGGCAGCTGTGGTTTAAACAGTAATTAGAGTGAACTTAGGACCAGCATGTTTATTCAAGAGAAGAAAAATGGTAAAACAAATATGGAGAAAGACAGAACACTTAACATCTGGGCTGATGATAACAATTTTGAAGATGTTTTGAATAGGCAAAGTGAGTTTTAAGGTTGAATGTCTTAAAAATATGTGATGTTCTGTTCTACCAAGTGCTTTCATGTTCTTATTAAATTTGTTGAACAACATTGAAGTCAAATGTTTTATAGATAAAGTTGACTGTTAGAATTTAGTTTCACTTTCACTTTCACTGCTCAGTGGCTTATGAAGTACAGAAGTATAATTGTTAAAGAATTTGAGATGTAATTTAGAGTGGTATTTTCAGGCAGGTTAATGTAGGTGATCTGACTCCCTATAAATCCTACTATAAGGCATTTCCTGAAGCTTCTGACTATTGCAGAAATCGAAATTGTAAGCCAAGGGACTAACAAAAGCGCAGGCACAGAATTACACCAGGGCAGGAAGTTTGGGGCAGTGTAGAATTTATTGATGGCTGGCGTGTGGCCTGGAATGGCTAGAGATGAGACTGGAGAGGCTGAGGCAAAATGGGGCAAGTTTTATTTCAAGCTACATGCACACAATGTGGAACTAGCAGAAATAGATTCTTGTAAAAATCACTTGTTGTTTTTTCTAGTAACTCTAAAGAAACACAAGTAATGTGGAGATAGCTCTTGTTGATTTTGCCTTGCGTACTGCTGGGATTCTTCTACCAGTGAAAAGAAGGCGATGAGGACTGGAACCCAAGTTGAAGGCCGAGAAGGAGCCACGTGGACTTGAGGAGATGCTTTGTTGGCATCCCAAGTTAGAACTCAAGATGTATTTTCTGTAGAAATGTTTTTATAGATGCTAGGTAGGTCATGAGTGATCTTTGGTGATGTCCTTTAATCCAACCACAGTCCATTATGTTATTCTACAGGAAAATACTTCAGAAATTTGAACCACGAATGTGAAGACGTAACTTTCTTGTTCGTTATAACTTGTCTTTATTAATACTTTGAGAAGTTTTTTTTTTTTTTTTTTTTTTCCCTAAAAAATGACCGG